TTAACAAGTCAATAAAATCAGCGTAACGTGGCATTTCAGAGACGGGGCAAAGCAGCCCGAGAATAAAAGTAAATTGTAAACGAATTGTAAACATGTATGTTTCCGTTTACATCTCGCATGGGCTGCATCGCACAACTGCGATTCATAAAAAAATATGCGTAGCAAATGGCTGAAAATACATCGCGAATTGCGATGCGATACCAGGAAAATTATTCCCTGAACATGTAATAGCACAAATGAATTATTAAACCTGGCTTACTCACAGTAACTAGCTGCTGGTTATTTAACGAGTTATATTCTATTCTCTCAGACAAAAGCGAGTGAAAACAATTCAATTATACCCATTTGCACCTAGCTCGATTAGACTAAAATCAGACATGTAATCACGTTGTGTATTTTAAGACAAGACAAATACATGGTGCAGGGTGGTACTGGTCCACAACCTAAAATTCAAACATGTACCACTGGGAACTTTAGAGGAGTACTTTAGACATTATTAAGAATTATGTGCGCCAAGCACACATCACAAGCGCGAAGCCTCTTGCGGCCGGGGTCCAGGGGCCGCCTTAGGGCCCTGGAAGCTCAGGGGTTTTAGATGCTCTTTGGTGCAATCTGAGCCTTATTTTGGAGCATTTTTGCACAAAATTTATGACCTATATTTCAAAATAATTTGGGTTGAGTCAAGAGTCATCAGTGATGAGTCATTTTTCATTGTTCAATTTGTATACTAGTGTGAATGTAACCAGTAAAATGTTATAAAGGCTGTGCAAAAAATGCAAATAAATGTACTATAAGGTGAAACTATATTGATAGAGTGTGGGTAGCATATGCGAGCTGCGAGTTGTTAATTAAAAAATGGATGAGAAAAACTTCTTCTTACCAAATTTACGGCAAAGATACCGCAACGATAGTAAAACCTACAGCAATATGGTTTATAAACTGGCGAAAAGAAATGCTATTTGGGTCTTTGAAAGATATGGATTACTAGAATAAGACACTTAATGACCAGGACTGAAGTAGTTGTTCAAAAGTGGATAATTCAGCCGTATTCACTGGATAGTGATTTATCCAGTGGACAGCGCTATCCACTTTTGAACAACCAGGGCCAGGCTGTTTCGACCAGGCACATGCATAGCCAGAGGGACCTTGAGCTCGCATGATTCCCTCCCCCCTAGAATTCACTTCTGGATCCGTCACTGCATAATGGGAGTAGGCGAAATGGGAATATTGCCGATTCTGAGAGTAGACGAAATGGGAGTAGGCGAAATGGGTGAAGGTGAAATGGGTGTAGGCGAAATGGGTGAAGGTGAAATGGGTGTAGGTGAAATGGGAGTAGGCCAACTGGGATGTTACCAGTTAAACATAAGTGACATTTCTTGCTGATCAAGCAGTCGACTCTAGGGCTTTGTTAGAGGTACGGTCAGCCGGCTCAAACAGCCAACCTATAGTATTTTAACCTTTTTTACGACAGGTAATTCACGGGAAAAATAGTGAAGGCTGAGGTGAGATAAGCGTTGAGGTTTCAAGAAATTCAAGTTAATAGTTATTAAGCATTGACTTACTAACGCGGGTTGCGAATGATAAATATCTGGCAATGCATTGCTTACTATCCCAGTACCCCACTCGCAACTCGCAACTTGTAGGTTACCAACGCTGATATTGATATGAGGCTCAGGACAAGTAAAAGTCTATGTCAGACAAGTTATTCGTTTGGTTAGTTGCTCGATTGGACAACTAAAAAATCACTGTGTAATATTCCTAACATCCTTTGGGCCAGGGCGCTATCGTAAGACATTCTCACATTATATTTTCAAAGGTCGCCGAAAAAAGCGGCCCGCGAGGCACGCGTCTGTGGCTGTATACATCGACGCTGCATACGTGCCTGCTGGCTGGAGGCGACATTGATTGAAGTAGGGGGCGCACAATTGTTTCAGTCGCGTGGTGCTAATCACCACTGAAATGTAGGGGGTGGGCCCTGCTGGACTATGAGAGAGCGACAGTAAAACTCTTTCCTGGAATTGAAGAAAAAGCTACAATCAAGAATGACACACGAGTGTGCCGGCACACAAAAATAAATGTGTGAATTTCATTACGATTTTCCATGGATTACCGTTCTATAATCATACGGGGCTACGTAGGCACGCCCGCAGGCATACACACACACACAGGCACACACGCGCGCATAAATCAAAGCAAGCAGCTCAGAAGATGTAGACGCACTGTATGACTCGACTGCCTGACAAGTGGGAGCCCATGCACAGAGTAAAACAGTGTAATAGACTGTAATAGTGTATGCTACAAGCGCGCGCTGTGACTACGCGTACGTCGTCCCGTTCGACAGTGCAGTACAGAACTTTGCATTTTGCTTTGTTTGTATTGTTTCTTGCTTTGATATTTCAAACCTGTCGGCCTGGAATCCAAACCTGTCGGCCAAAAAGTCGAAAAACTCAAACCTGTCGACCTTACATGTTAAAACCCCTCGTGAACCACACTGCATGGTGCCACCATGCAACTATCATTTCGGTATTGTACTGTTTAATAACTCGCGTCATTTTGGGTTTTACACATCCCGATCAAATGGTGGTTGCAATTTGGCTGTTTGACTGTTTACTTTGTTTGCAGTGGATTATAACCGTATACTGCAGAGTATCCACTCCCGCTATTTTACCGTACAGTACTTCTGATTGGCTAGTATATTTATATATGTGTTATGTATATATGTATGTTAGTATATTATGAATGTGTTCAAAATGTTTCATATTGGAAACGTCATTTACAGAAAATGGCTTCTATGATCAAACGGGGCCACAAATGTGTAGAAATAAATGGGATTTAAACCTAAAAGTTTTCTAGATAGCTAAACTTTATGGGATTTGAACGTAATGTTGAGGACATCATAAATATACTAGCCAATCAAATGTGGTGTACGTAAAATAGCGGAAGTGGATACTCTGCCGTATACGGTTAAATATCCATTGCCTACTTCGTTTGCCTTGTGAAATTCACAGTGTTCAGTGAACTATTGTATCATGACGGTATAATACTGAAATTTTAATCACAAAGCTAGAATACTATACTGAAAAGTTTAAAGCCAATATAAAACAAGTAAAGTCTTATTGGACAATTATTTTGTTTGAGGTACATGACGTAGTTTTTCAAAAATTTTCATAGGCGTGGAATATTTTCCAATTGATTGGCGTCAGGCTGTGTAGCCTACATACATTAGACTAGTCTCAGAGCATAGTAGCACTACACAATTTGTAAAATTGTATGTAATAACATCAGGAGTGGATAAAGGGATATCCACTTTATCCCTCCTGATAAGACCCTTTATCCACTCCTGATGTTATTACATACAATTTTACAAATTGTGTAGTGCTACTATGCTCTGAGACT